GATCCCACGTACAGACCAGCCGCTCACTGGCTGGGCGAGGTGCGGGCGCGACACCGAGGGTTGCGATCCCGTTGCTGTCCTGGTCCGGTATGGGCGCGACACTGAGGGTTGCGATCCGTTGCCGGTCACGAAAAAAGACAAAAAGAAAAAAAAAAAAAAATCACCTCATTGGGCCGGCCTGGTGGCGCACTCGGTAGAGTGCGGCACTCCCGCCGAGGGTTCGGATCCCATATACAGACCGGTCTGCTCACTGGTTGAGCGCGGTGCTGGCGTGACACCGAGGGTTGCGATCCTGTTACCGGTCATGAAAAAAGACAAAAAGAAAAAGAAAAAAAAACACCTCATTTGTGAAGTGTTCCTCAAAATATGTGGTAAACTTATGTTAGAGGTAACTTGAGCCAGTGACGACCTTAAAACTGAAGTCGAATCTGGATCTTAATCCCAGTCCCAAAAGTCGATTAGGTATGTGGTTTTATGCAGGTCATTTCACTTCTCTGAGCCTCAGTTTCCTCGTCTGTAAACTGGGGATAACTACATCTACATCGAAGGGTTGTTGGGAAGATAACCAAAAAAAAAAAAAAAGATATTGTGCTTTGTATAGCACAGGGGAGTTGCACAAATACTTGCTGACTTAATTCATAATAAAAAAAGCACATCCCAGACATCTCTCAGTTGAAACGTACACTTTAGAAGGAGCGTGAAAGAGGAGAAACAACTGGGTTTACATCCCCACTCCTACACTTTCTAGCTGTTTGGGTGTTGGCAAATCCCAGCCTCTTAATTACAATTTCTTCACTGTGAAATGGGAATAATGATCTCCATCTCTCAGGAGTGTTGAAAAGATTTCAAATCCCTTGTGGATAGCCCCTAGGAGGGTGTTTAATAGTTTTACCCCTTCCTTCTGCCCCTATGCAACATACAGGTCATTTCGAATACTGTGACCTGGAGCCAAAATACCAGAAGGCTCTGATACAGTGGGAGGAGGCCAACATTACAAGGAATAGTAAATACTAGGAAAGTTCTGGCCAATGTGAAGAATTAACTGGGAGCTAGGCAGTCCCAAGAGGAAAGGGACAGAAACTGCCGGATTGACTCACTGTGCTAATCTAATCATGTACAGATTTTTAAAAAGTCTTCACGGACTTCCAATGGCCATCAAGATAAAACTCAGCTGAAAGGCTGGCCGGTTAGCTCCGTTGGTTAGAGTGCAGCCTTACAGCACTAAAGTCATGGGTTTGGATCCCTGTACAGGTCAGCCACAAAGAAAAAGTAAAAAAGGATAAACTTCAGATTTCTTGATGTTTTTAGTTTTAACATTAACCATTAACCTTTTCCCTGTACATCCACTCGGTTTCCTGTAGTGCCTAGAAAGACCCATCCTCACAAGTTGTAAATACAAAGGCTAGTTGGTTAGCTCAGTTGGTTAGATTGTGGTGTTGATAACACCAAGGTCCAAAAAAAACAAAAACAAAAAACAACATAACTCCAGGCTGTTGCTGATAACATCAAGGTCAAGGGTTCAGACCTTCCAGCCTCCCAAAAAAAAAAAAAAAAGGGTAAATAAACATGTGAAAAGATGTCCAAATCATTAATAACTATTGAAATTTTTAATGAGGTATTTTTTATTGGTTAAATTGGTAAAAATTTAGAAGATAGCTACAACCAGTGTTAGAAAGGATATGGAAAAAAAGAACTCACATTCACTGTTGGTAGCAGGGAATATTAGTACAGCTTTTTGTTTTTTTTTTGGTTTTTTTTAAAAAAGATGACCGGTAAGGGGATCTTAACCCTTGGCTTGATGTTGTCAGCACCA